GGTGGGTGTGGGTGTGGGTGTGGCAGGGGCAGGCCCACCACCCACCACCCCTCGCGCAGCTTTCAGAAGCCTCCTCCTGGGGCTTTTTCAGCAGTGAAAATGCACCTCTGAAAGCCCCGCTTTGCTGCGTGGGGCGCTGGGGGGGCGGGCCTGCCCCTGCCCCTGCCACACCCCCACCCACCCCAGCAAAGTGCCGCTTTCAGAGGCTTCCCCAGTGCATTTCCACTGCCTATTTACCTGCTGGGCAAGCTTCTAAGAGCAGTGTGGATCAGCTGTAAGGCGGGGAGGGGGAGGGGCTGGAGCGGAGAAGATGGCTCCCGGCTCTTTTCTGGGACGATTGCTTCCCCCCTCATCGCAAACGCCCTGTTTTCACACAGCTGATGGGGGGCCTTTGCTAAGATCCCTGGCCCTGCCGATCAGCTGTGCAAAAATGGGGCGTTTCCGATGATGGGGGGGGAAGCCATAATCGCAAAGCGATTTTCCCCTATAGGGAACATCGCAATGCGATCGCTTTTGCGATCGCAAAATCCACATCGCTATGCGGATTCGTTGTTAAATGGGGCACCCGTTAAGCGAGGTACCACTGTAATCAGAAGAAGATGATAAGTCCCCATAAAGGGACGTCCACCCAGCCATCCTCAGTAAAGTTCCATGAATGTGACAGGGCAGTTTCTGTATAAAAGCTGAATATCCGGATGCACTCCAAAATAGTATCTTTCTCCAGTGTAAACTGTGACTAAAATCTTGTTGCTCAGTGTAGTAAATTACAGTACAGTAGGTCCAGTGAACCAGTGGGGATTTGACGAGTCAACTCCTCCAGATGTTGATTTAAATGAGTCTACTTTAGTTGCTGTTTACTTTAGCATAGTGAGTTGTGACTGGAGTAGGCCCATTTGAATCAATGAAACCTATGCAGGAATTGGCTCACCAAATCCCTAGTGATTCAGTGGGCCTACTCTAGTACAACTTACTATTCTAAGCAAGAGGATTTCAGCTTGTAAAATCCTTTGGGGAAGGGTTCAGAATAAAAAACAATGGAGTCTTGGGGATATTTTGTTTTGCAATGTTGTTACTTTAAAAATAAAAAACGGGGGAAAAAACCCTCTTTCCTCATTTGTGCCTCTCAGACATAATGGTCACCACATGGGAGCAAATATAACAATGACATAGGGCCCTGCATTTTTCTGAAGCTCTTGGATGATCTTTTGTGCCTTAGTAAGGGTTATAGTGGCAACATGAAATTGCTTTGAAACTAAATTCCCTTTACCTTTAATTACTGGACATTAATTCTTTTTAAAAGGAAATGCTGCAGTTTAATTTTGCAGGGTCCCCTCCCCCACCAACATAAGAAGCTTGGAGAAACCTGGTCCTGCCCTCAGATTAAAGCTTCAAAGGCGTTCTGCAGAGATTTTGTTTGTCACACTTGTATCATGCTCTTCATCAGTTCATGGCGCTGTTCTATTTCAGTCTCCCAGACTTGTGGACCAGGTTAGACTAAAGAACGGCGATTTGCCCAAGGCCATCTCAAGGAGATGATTATCTGAGCAGAGTACTGAACATCACCATTGGAACTATTCATTATACTGAAACAAAATGTTCTGTCAAAGTTGAACCGGCAAATTCTAAAGCAACAGGAAATTGAGGTGGGGGGAAGTATCACTTAGAAGATGTTTTGGTTGGTAAAGTTATGGGGTTGAGTCTGTACTAGAATTCATATAACCCAACGGATAGGAAATGCCTTTTTCTGTACCCAATGACTGCTACTTAGGAGTTGACTTATGTGCCCTGCGGATTCCAGTGGTTCTCAGACTGTTGTATAGCCATCACCCATCACTATGTTTCGATGTCCAGATGTTTTATAAAATGCTATTAGACATTTGTAAATTTCTCTGCAGTCAGAGAATGCTAGGTATGGACTGAAAATCTGCTTTACAACATGAGATGAAACACACTATGTTCAAACAATAATAAGTAATTGAGCTGTAAATTTGCATAAGTATCTCACAGAATGTATTTCTATGAAATGAATATGATTGGCAGATAATTCTGACTCCCAATATCAGCTACAACTGCACTTGTTAATAATTTGAAGTGTACTTAACGGAAGGTGCATGTTCCGTTAAGAACAATTTAAACTGCTACCATTCTTTAGATTTGTCATCTAACTGAAAAAATACAAAGAAGTATTGAGATATTGAGTATTTAGTATTGAGATTTGCTGCACAACCCAAAAGGGCTCCAAAGAAGGTGACGAGAAATAATAGCAGTAACAGTAAGAAACAAAACTCTAAAATCTAATACATGTAGCATGGGCTGATACAGATTTTGCTTTCTCACTCTTCAATTTTTCCCCACAAGCCATTTCCAAAAGCAGACAAAGAGCAATGTTTCAAAGTGTCTTGTCTGTGCCTTTTTCTAACAAATGGAGCGATTGCACACCAGCTATCCGTGGCATGCTGCCTTCTATGTCTCTTTGTTCCATCACAGCCGTACTTCGTTGAGATCATAGGTGAAGGCTCTGTTCCAATTGTCATTAACTTCAGAGGCAAGATAAATGCAAGGAGGCATGGCTTGCCTGGATGGGAAAAGACTTTTCAATATCAACTCCAGGTGGTGAGCAATGTTTCTACTGACACCGATAAAAAAGGGATATCCAGATAATTCACAAACTAATTGCCGTGCATGGCCTGCAGCTGAACTATCCATGTTGATGATAACCTATAGTCTTCCAAAGATCATGCAGCAATTACTGACTACCACCTTTCCAGATTGCTTTCCTGTAGATCAGGGCAGACATCTGAGGCCTTCAGATGGTTTGGCTGGCAGCTCCCATCATCCCTAGTCAATGGTTAAGAATTATAGAGATGCAGTCTTAAAACATCTGTAGGCCCAAAGTTGCCCACCACTCTGTAGATCTTCCACTTGTCCTGCTGAGAGGACAATAAATGCCAGTGACACAGAAACATTGGAAGTTGTCCAGTGCTGTTTATTCTGACTAGCATAAGCTCTCCAGAGCCTCAGGCAGAGGTCTTCTCCTTGTACCACTACCTGATCCTTTTAATTAGCGATGCCAAGAATAATACCTTCTGCAGTCAGAGGTATTCATTATGAGCTGAGCTGAGCTATCATTCCATACAATCACTCACTGAGAATAAGAATTGCAGAGCAGCATAACACACTGGCAGATCTCTATGACTGTAGCTATGCACTATAAATAGTGACATAATGGCTTTCCAAATGACTACAGTTCTGGATTTCCACATAGGTCATGAGTGTTCATGTTCCTGATTGATCGCTACAGATGGTGGACTTCCTGCGCAATTGTCGTGTGGAGTAACATCCTGCCATAACTCTTGAAAAGGAAAGAAAGAATATTCATGGATTTTGCTCAATTCCATAGGTTGGAGAAATCCACTAAGCATGCATAGCATGAAACATTAAAGGTGCCTGGAAGCTTATTCAGAAGTAATTGTGTTGTGGGATTTTTGCTGGGGTTTTGTTTTGTGTTTTGCAAACTTTCAAAAAGAAATATGTGGCTGTTATTCAATTTATTTTCAGTACCCATTTTCTATTCTTTTTTTTTTCAGTTTTATTTATTTATTTATTTTTTTGAGAAAATCATCTAAAAAGGTAGGAAGATGGTATAACATATACAAAATACCCCAATAAAGCATTTTGGCCCTCCAAAAGTAGCAGTAAAAATAACAAGCAAATGTTATTCACTACAGGGGGAAGATAACATTGCCAGTCATTACATTATTTTCAAAAGGACTTCATCATGTCCCTCTTATCCACAAACGTAACACATTGTCGAAAGGCTCAAATCCTGTTCTATAAATCACTGGTTCTTAACCTTGGGTTACTCAGGAGTTTTTGACTGCAACTCCCAGAAGCCTTCACCACCAGCTGTCCTGACTGGGGTTTCTGGGAGTTGCAGTTTAAATGCATCCAAGTAACAAAGGTTAAGAACCACTGCTATAAATCATGCCTATAAAAGGGTGATGATGTCACCAGCAGGGGGTAATTTTTATTTTAAAAACATTCCTACAACTTTCCCACTTTGGTTGCACAACTTTTCCAATACCTGTGTAATCCCGTTAATTGCATGGAAGCCGTAGGAGCTGCTAGTTAGAAGGAGGAAATTTTAATTATTGAAAATTGCCATTGCTGGATTGTGTTAGTATAATTTCTTTAACTGTGCAACAATTTGTGTGAACAAATAGCATTTTTGAAAATATGTTCCACATACCGAACAGGTTTCAGTCTTTCAAAAGGCCATAAAGGGACAACAAATGTAGAATAATGAAATCTGTACCCTCTGGCAAAAAAACAAAAAGGAGTAAAATAAAATAGAATTCTTCCAAATACGAGAACAAATCATAGAAAGAGAGACAACCAATGAAAGTTGGCTGCATTTCTTGCTTTTT